TCGTCTACTGACTCTGTGGATCCCATGGAACGCGCTTTGAACAAGCGGTAACACTCCGCAGCAGAAGGAGCAAAGGCTTCAGTCAACACCTTCTTCACCTCGTCAGGTTTCTCCTTGTCCGAGTCGGGCATGGCGTTGAATACAGTATACGCAGCCTTATCCAAGAGCAACGGCAAGTTTGCCATCTGCTCTTTGCCCGTATCCCACTTGTGGGATTTCGCCAGGATCATAAACTTTGACCAGAATACATCTAGGTCGTCACCTCGCCCTCGGTACGGACGCATAAATCCATCCAACTTCACAGACATTTTATTCTCATGAACAAACACTAAGACTTTCTATTTCCTTCCGACTCCACAAAAGTCCTACTCTGCAACACGTTGTCCCGGGTTTCGGCACCAAAAGCTGTTGGAGAACATGCACTCCACGCCGGCTTACGGCCAGTTCACTCACAACACCACAGAGCTTCCAAGGAAATTAGTTATTCTTCTAGATGGAAAATGAGAAACGTCTGTTATCACCACAAGTTGGAACTAACTCCACGCCAAGATCAAACGGAAGCTAAGCCAGAAAAAGAACCATGGCCAGCTTGCCAAAAGTAACGCGTAGCAAGCGTGCACGCAAGCACACTCCATACATAAGTCAGGATGCACACAAAAGCTACAAACTCGGAATAAGGGCAGCGCAGACCACGCCGAAACCGCAACTAGAAGATTGACCGCTGACAGGTCAATCAGTGAATGGAAAAGCATGCACCACCGCACGGACGCGCACTCACTAACCTACAATCAATACACGGAAAATGGCATCACGCAGAAGGTATACCAAGCAGAGCATGCACAAGTAACAATACAGTTCCAGCCAGTGGCTGCCACGTTACCATAAACTACAACATCGGCGACCACTTTTTCTCGTCCCTTGAGGGGTCGCCTTAGACAGGTTTCACTAGACCTATAATGAGTTCAATCTGGGGTTTTTAAAGGGTTTTTAAAGGGTGCAGCAAGGTGCAGACTAAGGAAAGCTGTACAGAGAAAAATGCATGGGAAGCAAATACCGGAAACGTTTCTGAAATGTGTAGCTTTTTTAAGTACCCCGACTGATCTTTTTATATTTTTTTAAGTACATCGTGTATTCCTGGAGTGTTCCTTATCTGCACCTTACAAAGTTGAAATCAGGGCAAGGAGACACGACACCGCCAATCCTAACCAGATGTCAAAGACAAAGGTGACTCGACTGAGCATGAACGCTCATGTGCACCAACTACAAACAAAGTATGCTGCACACACCTGGCCTGGTGTACAGCTACCAAATGCTTGGCCACGCCGCTCCCGAGACAGGGAAGAGCAGAAGAGAGACTTCGAGAGAAGTCAGCACTGCCACTAGGAAGCCTCTCCGCCACGATGCCGTCCACGATTGCAATTGTGTCGCCGAAAGCCAGGAGCAGATTTAAAACAGCGACCACAGGTAGCGCAGTGCTGGTTGCAACACGGATGGCTGGTGATTGGTATGCGCTGGGGTGTGGGCGGTGAAGCCGGGGCAGGTGTCGTGCACTTGTGCACAGCAAGTCCACCGGCACTTCCGAACCACCGAAGGCAGGCATGGCATTGACGTGCGTCCGGCTGTTCCGCTACAGGCAGCTGGCGATCAGCAGAACATTTGTGTCGTCCGAGTCCAGATTTACTCTTGAATGTCCGTTTACATACCAGGCAAGAGAGCGGTACCGCTGCACACACACACACACACACACACACACACACACACACACACACACGCACACGCACACACACATGCACATGCACACGCACACGCACATACACGCACACGCACACACACACACATGCACACACACACCTGTCCTGTCCTGTAGTGTCACTGCCACAAGGGTCACGTGGGCCCCAGAGAACAGAACTGGTGAGAACCCACGCATATATGAATGAACGAATCGCGCTGCTGGGCAGTCGGGCGGGAACCAGTCCTCGAGCACCGGTGACGACCGCGACCCTGCGCTGTCCGAAAGCAGCGGGCACACACAGCACAGTGCGCAGCACAGCAGACATCCTGTACAGGGGCTCGACAGTGCTCGGGAGGCTGAGAAGCGGAACATCGGTGAGCGGCTAGACCACCTTTGCTGCAAAACCAATGCCCACAATCCCCACAGCGGCAAGCCCCTCGCTGCTCAGCAAGCGGCTTGGCCCGCGCAGCCACACATTTGTGACGAGCACGGTCTCCAGGGCGCGTGAATGACCAATTGCAATCAATAAACATCACTGGGTAGGGCCAAGGCACACTCTCCACAGGCTCGGCATACATAACTCTTCACAGGCTCGGCATACATAACTCTCCACAGGCTCGGCATACATAACTCTCCACAGGCTCGGCATACATAACTCTCCACAGGCTAGGCATACATAACTCTCCACAGGCTCGGCATACGTAACTCTCCACAGGCTCGGCATACATAACTCTCCACAGGCTCGGCATACATAACTCGCCAGTCGGCATGGGCCTCACAGGCCGTGTGCTGGGCGACGCGCGGGAAGTGAGCCAGACAAGATCTGCCTTGGCATCCGACCGTACTGTCCATCCGGGCAACACAGCCACTCTAGCCGACGCTGTGCAACCTTCAAGCAGATGGTATCAGTGTCACCCCACACCTCCAACAGTTCGGCGTTGGTCCTGAACAATGGTCGCCAAGAAAACAACACGAGTTCAGTTTGCTTCTCAGAGTTTCATGCACTGGTAGGTGCAATCATCAGGCAAAAACCGTAATGGGTCAGCAAGAACAAGAAGTCTTTTACAGGGCACGGTGGACTGAGGTGAAAGTACTAGCAGGTGAGAGCAGCGGAATAGCACTGGTCAAAAGAAAGAGCAAATAGAGCGCCAACAGGCACAACACCAGGATGCAGAGTGGTGCGTGTGTGGGAAGCAGCGCAAGATTGTATAAGGGGTGTTCAGACAGCTCTGATTGCCCAGGAGAGATGGGCGCTTCAAGTAATGGCTGCATCTGTGTAGTCCTTCAGGCAGTATTTGTTGGCATGTCAGCACTTGTTGAGGGCGTAGTCTTTATCACTCAGCGCGATCCAGGTTTTCTTCGCTCTGCATAGCGGGCATCTCTCGGATAGGTGACTGTAGGCTATGGACCTTCCACAGATCTTCCACTGGACGTCGCGCTCTTCATCAAGTTTTGGGACTTCAAACCCCAGGCGTACTTCGACAGCTCAGTGCTGTTCTTCTATGTGACGACGCTAGGGGTGAAACGAGTATCTATTTTGACCAACCGATCACTCATTCATAATATTCGATCGAGTATCCGATTATTTCGAGTATTTTATCGAAATTCAAAAGCGCTAGATTTGTGAGTTCTCGACTAATTCGGAAGAAATTATCTGTGAACATAGAACAAAAGTCGCCAACGTCTTGTACAGAGTGTAAAGTAACGATTTTCGCCAGTACTTTCATTATCTCAAAACAAAATAACGTTACTTGCCGTGGTGATCGCATCGTCCAAGTCATAAAATACTGACTCAAAGGCACGAATAATGCGTGCATACCAGTCGATGAGCAGTACAACAGGAGTTTTTGAAAAATAGAATGCCAGTACTAAAAAAAAAAAAAAAAAAAAAAAAAAACCCGATCGAGTGCAAAATTTCGAATACTCGCTCGTTTGAGATTTTCGAACGAATACTCGAATATTCGAACTAATCGTTTCACCCCTAGACGACGCTCATTGATATCTTATGATTCCCAGGCGTAACTTGGAAGGTGTGGTCGAACCGAAGTAGCCTCTGAAACCACTCTGTGTGAGGATGACCACCTCGTAAACTGCGGCCTCTATACGCAATCTGCGGACAGAACTGTGTCATCCTTTGTGGACTCATCAGCGCAGCACAGAGAAAACGAGGCTGAATATGATTGAACTTCACAAAAATACTGTAGAACGGGTAATTATAGCGACGATTAATTTTAGCGTTGTCCCATTGTCAACCGGTTGGCGACGTTTTATTTTAGCGATTTGCAGCGGTTTTACTCACGGATCACCAGTGCACTACTATTGTCTCAACGGATTAGCGACTTGAAACTTTAGCGAAAATGAGTCGATCGCTAAATTCGTTAGGTTTTTTAAGTCGCTAAAATTACCCGTTCTACAGTATTGCGACAGAGCTTTCGGCCATATTTCCAATACTGAATTCCCAACTCGTCACAACCACGCGCTCTCAGCTGAACCACGGAGCATAATGACACCAGCACAGCAAGGACGCTTCCGTTGACAGATAATATTTTTCCACGCCTCTAGACGGCTGTTTCGCTCCCTGCCAGAGCTCATCAGTAGGGGATTATCTACTGATGAGCTCCGGCAGGGAGCGAAACAGCTGTCTAGAGGCGTGGAAAAAAGCATAAGTATCTGTCAACGGAAGTGTCCTCGCTGTGCTGGTGTCTTTATGCTTCGTGGTTCGGCTGAGAGCGCGTGGTTGTGACCAGTTGGGAATGCAGTAAATTGAACCTGATAGCACGAAGAATAATATATATTTTTCCAAAGCAAGATTTAAACCTGGCCCGAACGTACCTTGCCAGAGTGCTCAAACTGACAAGTCGGTGAGCTCTGCATAACTGACAAGTCGGTGAGCTCTGCATAACTGACAAGTCGGTGAGCTCTGCATAACTGACAAGTCGGTGAGCTCTGCATAACGCACACCGTGAGTAAAGCCACTACATGTACCCCACCCCACATGAGAGTGCTCAACTACTACGCAAATACTCATATACTTATGTGTGTGTGTGTGTGTGTGTGTGTGTGTGTGTGTGTGTGTGTGTGTGTGTGTGTGTGTGTGTGTGTGTGTGTGTGTGTGTGTGTGTGTGTGTGTGTGTGCATATGTGTGTATGATTGTGTATTTATGTGTTTATATGTGTGGATGTATTTGCGTGTGCATGTGTGTGCACCCTTTCTTTCTACATGACATTGTGTGAATGCATGATTGTACACATCAAATGCATGCCTGTAGCACCATCATGTGGTCTTCCTCCCACTGGTTATATGGTCAGCGTCACAAGCGATGGAGAGAGAGAAACGGTCTTCCTGCCGCCAAGCCAAACAGTAAGTGGCTGTTCAGAGATCTAATTACTGTATTGATGTTTGGGGAAAAGTAGGTATGGGAAGGGGATAGTTGTGGAAAGTTGATAGGGGAAGGGAATAGTTGGGGAAAGTAGGTAAGGGAAGGGGATAGTTGGGGAAAGTAGGTAGAGGAATAGAATAGTTGGGTGCTCTGGTGCTGGTAACGTCCTAGCAGAGAGGCAATCCGAAGAGGCGGCAGAACTGGTCCGTCCGGCCATGGCCGGACAAACTGTTTTGCCACCAACACGCGTTGACTGGCGAGGAGGTCATGTGCACCCGCCACCGTATCTTACACAACGTATGAAGGACTATAGTATGGCCAGGCCAATCAATAACAGTTCCAGCGGTCCTGATCCGCCCAACGGGGATGGCTACCGGTACACTGGTAGTTCTGTACTAGGGGTGAAACGAGTATCTATTTTGACCAATCGATCACTCGTTCATAATATTCGATCGAGTATCCGATTATTTCGAGTATTTTATCAAAATCCAAAAGCGCTAGATTTGTGAGTTCTCGAAGAATTCGGGAGAAATTATCTGTGAACATAGAGCGAAAGTCGCTAACGTCTTGTACAGAGTGTAAAGTAAAGATTTTCATAAGTACTTTCATATCTCAGATCATTACTTGCCGTGGTGATCGCATCGTCCAAGTCATAAAATACTGACTCAAAGGCATGCATAAACCATGTACAGTGGACGAGCGGTATAACAAAAGGTTTTTGAAAAATAGAATGCCAATACGAAAAAAAAAAAAAAAAAAAAAAAAAAAAAAAACGATCGAGTGCAAAATTTCGAATACTCGCTCGTTTGAAATTTTCGAACGAATACTCGAATATTCGAAGTAATCGTTTCACCCCTATTCTGTACACATTCACAGCAGTTGGACACAAGTCGGTGTTAAGGGTATGGGATCCAGGTGGACACAAGTCGGTGTTAAGGACATGGGATCCAGGTGGACACAAGTCGGTGTTAAGGGCATGGGATCCAGGTGGACAAGCGTAATGATTATCAATTTCAGCTACTCTTAAAAATAATCGACGAGGAGACAATAGTCGTAAAATGGCAATAAAGAATATCAATTGTGCACTCGTAACAACAGCAAAAAATGAAGAAGTGTAGCGCCGTCGCATAAAAATGTAATAACTAAAACACACTCTTTTATAGCTAATTTGGTTTCAGGTTGAGATACAGCAGCCAGCAAATACATATTAGCTAAAAAAAGATGTGGGCTTTGCGCAGCAAAGCCTAGTTAGCCCCTGCACATGCGCAATGTTGGCATATCGCTGTGTGTGTGTGTGTGTGTGTGTGTGTGTGTGTGTGTGTGTGTGTGTCACGTGACTGTCCCTGCACGATTTACAAGCTCGCACAATTTTACGGACATCCTGTTATGGTGTCGTATCGGAAGACGGGTCTCCTTCAAGCTCTTGAACTGTCGGGATGTGAAGGAGCGTTCCTTTGCAGTTGATTTTCTTGATGTGTCAAAATGCAGTTTTAGTAGTTGTTTGTTTCTATTGTTTTGCTAGCCGGTACCGTGTACCCTGGTACAGAGCAATTGATGATGTAGCGGCGGCGACATCCTAATTATGATGTAGCGGCGGCGGCGACATCATAATTATGATTATGCATAGGTATAATGATGAGGGTACAAATATACCTTCTGTAGTGGGGGTGCCATGGCTTCTTCTAGGTCTATCATCTTCTTTGGGTGCAAGCAAGCAGATGGTATTGTTGTAACTCGCTTTCTCTACCTGCTCCCAGTCCCGTGCCATCTCCACACTTGTACAAAGGGACGACGATAACTACATTTAGAAGACTGTTTATTGACACGACGAAGAAACACAACTAGACATGACGGAATCAAGATGAAGACATGCTGATGAACTCAAGACGAAGACATCATGAACTCAAGACGAAGACTGCTTTTCATACCACAGCAACAAGCGCATGCACCAACATGACGTACACACTACGTACACAAAATAACGTACTACAACATAACTTAACTCCCTTCCAAAAGTAGAATCGTCCTTGATTCTGATAATAAAACAAAGTAAAAAGAGGAAAAGATCACACAAATCACTCAATCATACCACACCCGTCACACCCAGAAATAAAATACCTCTGCCTGCACTGCAGATTACAAAAACTCTGTCCGCCCACCCAGAACACCAGCCACGATCGCTGTCACACGTGTGGGAACTGATAACCTCAAAAACTCTAAACTACTGCACACAACACACCACCTCACGATCACGCAAAAATTCTAAAAATGTGAGAGCACAAATCATAGGAATAACAAAAAGAACAAAATCCACTGGCTCTGTGGGGGCCTCTAGCTCTGGTTATCCTCATAGAAGAGCAAATCAAAAAACGAACAGAACACACGCGCTGTGCGGGCGCCTCTTTACCCTCGAGGAGAGCAAATAATAAAGAACGAAATGTTGGGAGAACAGAAAATACACAACTCACATTCTCATCACGTTCACAACAACACACGTACCCTCTCACCAACGAAACTCCTCACGCCGTCTGCCATGTCGTCCACCATCTCCAGGAGCGCTGCTCAGCGTCTACATCCTCACACTGCAGCCTTCACCTTCCATCCTTCTTTTTTTTCTGTTTCAGTTTTTCTTCTGGGCACAGTTTTACGTCGTGTCCGGGACCACCAGTGACGACGACTGCCAAGAGACGGGAGAGACGAATGATGAAGGACGAGGACGACGGGCGAACTTCTTCAAGACGGACAAAACTGTGACGATAGGACGACTGGAGATGACATCGGAAACTGGGAGCGAAGGCCACGCAGGACGAATCCAGAAGTTGAGATTACAAATTTCCATTACCGCTGCCACCAATGTTGTAACTCGCTTTTCTCTGCCTGCTCCCAGTCCCGTGCCATCTCCACACTTGTACAAAGAGACGACGATAACTACATTTAGGAAGACTGTTTATTGACACGACGACGAAACACACAACTAGACATGACGAACTCAAGACGAAGACATGATGAACTAGCACGGCTGTCAAGAAGCGGCAACTTAGAAAGATGGCGTCGGTTCGAGATGGCATGGTAACCGCGCACGTGCCGTGGTCCGTGACTTGCTCATGTATGCACGCAAATGCAAGTCACAAACTCACAAAGATCGTCTTTGCATTTGGAGAAAATACCTTTGACTCTCTTTGGAGGTTGGCGAGGTTTGCCTAATCTTTACTTGATTGCGATGCTGGTATGTCCTCTCAATAATTAGAACAAAGAGAGCTGATGATCGCTTCATTGCTGAGCAGAAGTAACAATCAACTCTCCTCATGTCCTCAGTGCCAAAGGCAGATGACTGCAATTCCACAACGCTCATTTCACGATGATGGAAACAATAATCGTGTACTAGTACACACTTGGACCATTTGGTCATGCCTATTCTAGCCGCTAGTCCGTCCAGCAAGCAGATATTGACTATTATGATAAGGACAACTGCGTGAACGAGGGCTCACTCAGCAAATACAATTCAAGTCGTGACTCCAGTCAAGAATTAGGGTCTTTACTCGAGAACTTCACGAATACAGGCCAATGCACCCCACAAAACTGATAGATGGCACGAACGAAAGACAAAATAGGCTAGACAAAGTGTCCCAAGTGATTCAAACAGCAGATCTACCAAATTAAGACAGCTACAGATGCCTAAACAACGATCCCAATACAGTAGAGAGTAGTATCAGGCAGAATGAAAGCCTTGGAAGTGCACAAATACAGCCACGACCGCCACAAAAATTGGAAGATCGCCACAAAAAATTTCTCATTGCTCTACCTCCTTGAAGGGTGAAAGTTACCAGTTATCCTAGAGCGATGTCAGTTTATGCCTGTTGGAACCCCCCCCACAGCCCGCACGAAATACCTTTCAAATAATTCCAGGATGCAATTGCAGCTCCAGACAGGAGGAAGAAGAACACCGTGAAAAATAACGGCAACGATGCCCAAACTCTCGGGAAACGGCTGAAGTCTTCCTGAAGATGTTAACATTGAATAGCCATCGATTACCAGCGTGGTTTGGTGACTTAAGAACTGTTTTGAGACTTAGAACGAAGCGATATCTCAAATTTGATGGAATTGTTACCTGTCAAATGCGTGGGCGAGTAGGCCAGCTGACTGGTTATGCATGAGCATGCATTGATTTTTCATGGTTCACGTGCAGAAAACTAAGTTGCCGGGATCCAAGTGCAGCTTACAGCCGTGTAACTCAAGACGAAGACTGCTTTTCATACCACAGCAACACACGCATGCACCAACATGACGTACACACGACGTACACCAAATAACGTACTGCAACAGTATCAGTGTCACCCCACACCTCCAACAGTTCGGCGTTGGTCCTGAAGAATGGTCGCCAAGAAAACAACACGAGTTCAGTTTGCTACTCAGAGTTTCTTGCACTGGTAGGTGCAATCATCAGGCAAAAACCGTAATGGGTCAGCAAGAACAAGAGGTCTTTTACAGGGCACGGTGGAGTGAGGTGAAAGTACTAGCAGGTGAGAGCAGCGGAATAGCGCTGGTCAAAAGAAAGAGCAAATAGAGCGCCAACAGGCACAACACCAGGATGCAGGGTGGTCATATTGTGTGCGTGTGGTGTGAATCCTCATGCCAGGCAGTTGTGTGAGTTTTTGGCCTCGGTGGTCATTCGTTTGCCCTCGCCGGGCAGTATGAGGTCGCCCCCAGCGGGCAGTATCCTTTTGCTCTTGGTGGGCAGGTTGTCGGCCTCGGTGGCTGTTCGTTTGCTCAATAGGCAGTATGATTCAGCTCTCGGTGGGCAGCATACTTCGGCCCTCGGTGGGTACTACGCTTTATCCCTTGGCGGGAAGTGTGCTGTAGCCCTCACTGGGCATGCTATTGGCCTCAACGGCCGTTGTGCGCGCTCGGTTGGGCGGTATGCTTTAGCCTTCGGTAGGCAGGTTGCTGGCCTCGGCAGCCGTTCGTGCACCCTCGGTTGGGC